ACATATTAATATATATACAAAATCTAATGATTTCTCTTAATATCTTTTTTTTTCTATACAACTTCAAATTTAAACTTGAAAAGCTTTGAAGGCAAAAACGGAAATATTAACTTCTTTTCCGAAATAAAAATACATAACAATTGTATAAAGTTCTCCCGAAACTGTCATATATACAAAACATGAACGGAGCAAAATGGCGACATCTTCTAAAACGAGAGCAGTTCGGCAGCGTTTTCGAGAATAGATAGAATCCGCAGTCAGTTAGCAGCTGCCAAGTCGAGATAATTTACGATCTAGCTCCGTCACATACGCTCTCAATTAAATAGTGTCATTTTGGAATCTCTGACAAGCGCCCGGAATAAGCGCGTGATTTCTCAGAGCAATTTTACGATATCGCGTATATATCTAATTGCAAGTCCATCCGGTAAACGAGGCAACTTAATTTTGAAAACTGCTCTGAGATATTTTCTAATTTAATTAGTTTCTAAATCAATTACTTAAATCTCTTTAATATTTTACTTCTGCTATTTGCGCATAGATACATTATAAAACGCCTGAGCCTTAAAGATTAAAAATAACGGGTGATTTTGTTCTCAATATATTATACGGTATAATGAATAAACATAACACACATAAATATTTGAAAAAAAATTCATTAATTTATTAACCTTTAAACTTTTCTTTATCTTTCTGCAAAAAAAATCGCTTCTATATAGAGTTATAAACCGGAGATCATCAGCGTGCGAAAATATGCAACTCAAACATGACAACTTGAATTGAGATTCGATTAACCGATAATGCGAGTACGATCGAAAATAGCCAGAGTTTATCGGGTCACACGGTTATATATCAGCAACTACGAGAGAAGATATAGGTAAGCGACGAGATATATAGATTAAAATATGTCAGCCGAAGAATTTCTCGTGACTCCGCGATTTTTTCGGTATGGCATCGCTACCGGTTGTTATCGCACGGACACGTGTCGCTTTAGCATACGCTATACGTGTGTGCATTATGTGTTATCAGCATCGACCGCGATAGGCTAAATCCCGATGGAACGGACATTTTATATCGGCGAGGGAAACGCCGTTCGATTAAACTTCCGCACGCGAGCGAATTATGCAAAGCCCGGGAAACCGGTCTCCGGTAATCTCGCCTCACCACACGGCATTATTGCCGCTGATTCCCCGATTTTTTTTTTATCGATTTTAAAATTAATCGACCGATTAACGATAGATAACAGAGGCGTGTCGAAGGATTAATTGAATCGCTGGAAATTTATCGACAGGCCGATCGGATACTCTATTCGCGTGGACATCCTAGATAATGTATATACGCAGATGTGTATATATGTCGAAAAGCTGGAAGCTCTATAATATTTCGAAATTCTCTGCGAGCTTTTGAAATATTTTTTTGCCAAAAGAAAAGTCAACATTTTTAATAACAATTATTTAATACGGCCAAAAATAATGGATACAAATATAATAAAATTATATTCTTCTTTTAATATGAAATGGATTTGCATCAAACAAAATTTGATTTTAATTTGTATTCAAGTATCTTGATATAACAAATTTCTAATTTTTCTACTATTAGATTTAAGAAGTCTATATTAACTTTACGTATATATATTTAAATATTTTCATATCGCATATATCGTTTATAACTGATCTTTTATCTATAGATATGAAAAAAATGGCAAATCCTGCATACTAATATTATCATAACCGGATCCGAAGTGTTAACCACACTGACTAAGCTTAACGTACGTATCTCGAGTTCTGGATTATATAGCAATCAACTATCTCGAATGAATTGCGTTTGATGAATTCCGTGGATGCCGTCGTACTTTGCCAGCAGCAATAGACGTATATCTTTGTCTTTTACACAGTGGCGTATCCAATTTTTTTTTACTACCTTTACGCATATAAATACGCATTTTTTTCAACCAGATGTTGAAGTAGCAACACGTAACAATGTATATTTATAAATGTATTCAAAAACACGATGATTAATTTTCAGTAAAAAATATATAAATTAAAAATACGTACAAAAAATATTTGTCATACGTCATGTGTAAAAAAAAGATGTACATAACTCGAAAAAAAACGATTAATCATCATTTTATCTTTTTTTATTTTTAAGTTTTTTTGAATATTAAGTTATGATTTTCACGTAGATTAATGACAACGCAATGATTTCAACAGAAACACTAGAATATACACCACTGCGTTTATAACGTTGTGCGCACTAGTCGTTTGCGTGCACATGTGTGGATATTGTGTATATATACGTGCGTGTATACGGAAATACGATGTGTGTGTATAGAGCGTGCCAGACGACCGGCGCCACAAGGAATCCCCACGCACACCTGAATGCCGACCGAATGGCGACCGCTTGCGTAAGAGTCCGACGAACGATCGTCGAGTCGAGTCATTCTAAGATTTCCACAGAGCTCGCTAACTCTCGTCAAGCGAGCCAAGTGGGAAAAGCCTCGGGAAAAAAGTCGAAGAAAATTTAGCAACACGCGCGCGTGTAACAGCAATTGGGACGCCTTAAACCTTTTCGAATTACATAAAGCATATTATATATTTTTTAAATAAAAATAAATTTAAAAAATTGGAAAATAGAAAAAGAGAGAGAAAATTATTTTTAAAAATATTATAACGTGTCAAAAATATTCATCATATAAAATATCAAAAATTTATTTCTTCCTTTATTATATTTTATATTTCATGACAATTTATACGTAATTAATTTAAACTGACATGCCGTTTGGAGTTCCTTCACGAATCTTTATCACAATTTTCTATTAGAGATGTGAAAATGCGAACAGTAAGCATCATGAGTTATCGCTGAAACGTGTCATATATCGTAGTGGTAATTGCATGATAAATTATGATGAAACTTCCGCAACGAGAAATGCTATATATACTGGCTAACTATAACGCGAGAAGCTGTTACTATTATTGCGCTCTAACGACTAGACAGCGACTGTTTAATAAGTTCGAACACGTATACGGATTGCAGGACAATTCCTACATCCGTTGATTGATACATCGCGATGTGGAGATGAGGAAGACCTCGTGCATTCGCAGTGCAATTTCTTTCTATTACGCATCCTGATTATGCATTTACGATGCGATCCTTGAACCTCGTAGGAATTATGATTCCGAGGTTTATTCTTATGCCTCACGTAATCTCGTATTTATCGAGATTTTTCATTGCAAATAATCGTCATCGAATACGTAACTGCCGCATGCATTTGCACGTATTTATCTAAAAAGAGAAGAGAAAATCCAATTTTAAAACGCTGTCAATTGATTTACATATTTCCAGATTTATCCAATCCCCAATGTATTTTTAGAAAATAATTTTAAAAAATATTTTAAAATATTTATATAAAATGATTAAATATCCGATAATTGTGTACACCTCGAACAATGATTTATCAAGGCCATTACGGAATTAATTTATCATGTATGGATATATGAATAAACATTTATAACTATTTGCTTTCACTTTAGTGTAATCATTTTTTAATATTTTTGATAAAGAATAGTTGTAGATATTTATAATGCAAATATTAAATGTATTACAAAAATCTCTAGTAATATAATTGTTAATATTTCTTACAACAATTCCAAGAAAAGTTTCTGCATAAAAATAAAAAATCGATACATTTTCTCTGAAATAGTTTCCAAACTTTTCCAGGTGTAAAAATCTTTTTGCATGAATTTTTCAGTGTAAAATCCAGTATTCTTTTTTTAAATACGCAAACATTTATTTATAACAACTGAATCTGTTTTCCCCTTCATTTGACATGCTTTTATTTTTATAAAAATTTCTTGGAAACTATAGTACACGAAGAATACAAATCTTCAAGAATATGACAGGAAATATTTGAGACGTTTTTAAGTCAGGTCCACTCAACATTTTAACAAAGTGTAAGTATACATACTCTGTGAAACGTGGCGTCGATCGCGAGACTCTCGCGCGACAAAGCGTGAATTACGACAGATCCGTTGCATACATTACGCTACTCCGCCATCCCCATCAGGCCGTCGTAGGTACGTAAATAAACGAGATGCGTAGCCGGGCTCTCGCGGCCTTCGGAAGAGAAAAGGCCGCGGCAGAACGGATCGGGACGGGTCCTAACCGCGGTTTTATCGTAAATTCTCTTACACAAGAGAGTTATCCCGGCACGCACGCACGCACAAGCGTCACCTCGAAGGTGAGAGGCGTGCCCACACACGCGTGCCTCGAAAACCGAACGCAACGTACACGCCAATTATTTATTTATCCCCTCTGCGCACGAACCGATCCACCAGTGCGATATTTCCGCGTCCGTAAAAAAAATGACTCAAATTTCGTCGAACAAATTTTGTCGAATACATACTCTTATAATCTTGGATTAAATCTGTGATACATCATTAAAGTCATTAAAATCGCATTACAGGCATTAAGAATGCAGTCCTTAAGCAAGGAATCGAAATTGCATTCATTGGCTCAAAAAATGAGAGAGAGTTCAATGAATTTATTAAATGTATTATTATATATTGATTTTAATATATCTTTTAAAAAATTCATATATATATCATCTTTATTATCTAATATTAAATTCTCGTATTTATAATTTATAAATTTATAAATTTATATGCTTAATATTAGATGATAAAGATTTTTATAAAGAAATCTTTATTATCTAATATTAAGTTCTTATATAAATTTTTAAAATTTATAAATCTTAAATTAATAAATTTATAAAATTTATAAATATGAGAACTTAATATTAGATAATAAAGATTATACAAAAATGTTTTAAAGACGTGTATTACACCAAAAAAATCCGAGCGAATAATAAAGTATTAAATGCTTAATTAAACGGCTATCTGAAAATCCATCGAAACGAAGATAACGCGGAGTCCGCGCATTAATCTATTGACGTCGACTGCGGGATTGTCTGACTACGATACGTCTGCATTTCCTGAAATCCTGTTGGTAGTCAACGTACCGTGAATCACCGGCGCGTCTCGATAAAATCCAAGCACGTAGATCACTCGCGTTTACGTGGAAGGAATCGCGCTCGATCTGGGCGCGCCGAGGTCACCTCTCAGCCCAGTTTCTAATAAATCGATCCAGAATCGATATCGCGAATGCACAACCCGAGGGGTATCGCGTTACCCGCGAGGGCGTCGGTATTTAATTGTATGGAAATCAGCCACCGAGTGGAAAACGTATGTATATCTTTATACGCAAGGTTAACGCGTACGTCAGTTCACGTTCCGCTATTGTTCTCTTTTGCGACCACTTTGCTCTATTTAGATGCACGTGTGCTCGAACAAAATCGAGATCGAAAAGTGGATCGGAAATTTATCGGATCTCCGTTGCTCGAAATAAATATATATTTCAGACGATATCTATATATGTATATTCGAAAACAATTTTCTTAATTGGTATCGTAATTAATTATAAATTAGCACAGGAAAGAATATATTTTTTTCAAACCTTCACTTCACAACTATTTCAAGAATAACTATATTTTAAGAATAACATTATTTTCAAAGAGGGCATTTGTAGCTTATTAAATATCTATTTTTGATATAAACTTCTCACAGGCTAAAGCAAGATATATATATAAGCTGATAATGTGAGATAATGTTCGATTATTGTCTCTTCAGCTTTTTTCATTTTATCGATACCTCTAACTTTATTATCGATAAAATGCAAAAAAAAAAAAATATGATCAAACAACTATCTTTATCTATATAATAGAAACACGAGATGTTGTAAACGTTCTGGCAACTTTTCTCTCAAATGGATAAAGGACAAAGGGCAGAGAGCTCTCGGATAAAGTTTAGTCAAAACGGGCAAGATGAGCAGAAAGAGCGAGTTAAGTTACCCGGCTGTCCTGGGGATTGGGGAAGCCCTCTCGATTCTCGGTTGTACGAGGTTATTCTCCGGTGTCTCGGGATCTAGGAATAGAACTTTAGTCTGTGTGTTACTTACAGCACATCACCGGTTCTTCTCTTTTCTCGTAGTCAACGAGAGACACGACTAAGGTACCATTTACAACCAAACCGTCTGTCATCGCCAACGTCATTCACGATATTCGCAAGTGATAAATAATTGTCAAGCAAAAATTCTATAAAGAATTCACAATCAAGAACGAGTGAAAATACAATGCGTAATACAATATAAATTAAATAAAAAAAATGATTATTTTGAATAAATTGTTGCCAGGGTGTCAGGTTATTATTATTTTTATTAAATTTATTCCTGGCGATATATCGGTTTGATATTGTATTATTGTTTCCGATTAAAGTGCTTGCAGAGAATTTTAAGAAACTTTGAATATTCTCTTTCAAATTCAGGTAGTAAAGCCGATTTATGAAATCTCATATTTTTAATGGCTTAAAAATTAATAAATTTCGAAGGATTCGGCTCGAATGAGATTTTCAATTAAAAGATTTTGTAAAGTTGTTTCACGAATGCAGTTCAAGCTTAATCGCATCGTTCAAAATGCGACAAAGCTTCTCGGTAAACCTGGCAGTTTGTTTCATTGACGTGAAACAGTCTTTTTCTCAGAGAGAGAAAGAGACTCGTTTATTTTTATACGGAAACAAAGAGATTCTATTCATTGTTCTGGCCACCCTGTTAATTCATTGTTAAGACGTAATGTTTCGTCTCATTATTCTTATCATAGCTTAACAAAAATAATTTAATCAATATAATAGCACATTTATTTCTTTTCAGATAAAAAAAAAATATCTGTATCTGTGTATCTTATCTGTAGTATCTTTTTCTTTAGAAAATATCCTCTGGGACAATCACAGTTTTGTTCTAATTCGGTCAACAGAACACACAAAGCAAACTAACACAGACTAACTAGATTAACGAAAGAAATGAGTTGGCTCGTTAGATTCTTTAAAAGAAAGAAGAACAAATCTTGAGGCTCTTTGCAGCTTGCAAATAATCCCGAATCAAAATAAATCAAAATTTTTGCGAAATAATATGACATATATTTACATTTTATAAATTTGAATGTAAATACATGTTACTTCGTGAGCTATACTAATAATAAAACAGAAAGTAGAAAAAAGAGAAATTTGTATTTATATCATTGAAATGCCCGAGAAACTACCTGTTTCTAGATTTTCAATTTTGTGAAAAATGTCAATCTCTCAATGTTAAAAATGTTGATGTCAAAAATGTAATAACATATCTTCTTTATAAATTTTTATGCAATTAATCTGCATCACGTAACCTGGATTAAAGCGATGTTTTTCCTGTTATTTATATAACGATGTCTTTTAATTATTCTTACTTTTCCTCTCGTTTTATTTTCACTTGGCTAATTGTTCCATTTTCTCTAATTACTGTCAAAAAAGCAACGTAATTAATATCATCCTCCATCTCTCGGGGATCAATGGAATATAATTTTTTAAGAGTCGCGAAGAAGTCGAGAGGAAAATATCGGCACGCGAGATGCCGGGGCATCTTGCGATAAATGAAATTGAAATTAAGCGCTCCGCGAATTCTCCTCTTCGTGAAAGCAAGCCACGACTAGAATTCGATCGAACCTGAAGAACCTGAAGCGTCACGAGGTGAACGTGAGATGACCCTGGTCCACCGTTATCGCAACCTCGTTTTCGGTTGCTCGATGAAAAAATTGGACTAAACGTCCTTGCTCAATTTGAAAAAAAAAAAAAAAAAGCATTTTTATCTTATATTTTTAAATTCGAAATTTATCGATGCAACCTTGCGATTCATAAAATTGATTTCTGTCAACATTCAGTTCGACGTACGTGTGTGTCACTCATAGTTTACTCTGTGACATAACGACGTGGTTCTCTGCGCACAAAGTACAAGATGAAGCGAGAGAATGCATACATAATGCATTCTTCTTTTCGCTAATTAAAGATAGGTCTAAAAATACAGACGCTTGTGGTCTCTCGAGTAGAATTACGCGGGCTAATGTTTAATTAAGCAAATCAAGACGCATTTGTCGTTTCTGCGTAATCGCAGCATCGATCGCGTAATTGCATTTCCGTGACAGCATGCATTGTATACCAGAGACGATCTCCTCTCCGGCGATCGATCTTTCGACCGGCGCGACGCCGCGGGCGTTCATGAATCACGCTCGCATCCAGATGATAGTATTTGCCGCCTCTCTCCGACGAGAATAACACACCTCAACAAAACGTTTCCAAAGAAACGCCATAAATTTAATAATAAAAAAAATTAACGCAGCAAATTAATAAATTGTATACACGTGTATCCTGCGAATTTCCTCGCTACTCTCATCGCGCTTCCATTACTTCCATGCGCGCGCGCGCAATGTTCAATTTCTAAGCTGTTCTCTGATTAAACAGCCCGCGAGCAGCATCATGATTCACACCGGAATCCAGATGACGCCGAATAACCGCGGAGAGGAGCAGGCGGGATCGTGTAACGGAGAAGAAAGAGAAGAAACACACAGAGAAAGCCAAGCCCCAGCTCAAGGCAGATGCGCGCGTATTTCTATATATACGCATATGTACGCGCGAGCACGCTTACGCACGTATGGAACGCGACACGCAGGCACAACACCGACGACGCCGCCGGTCGTCTCGCTCGGCGAGGTTCCTGGCGTCAGTCTGTCGGATCTCCTGGGACCCTCCTTTCGCGCTTCTACGAAGCCCATCGAATCTACGAGCCCTCACTTTCTCGCGTCTTGTCGTCGGCGCGGGATGCTTTCCAATTACATATTCGTCGCATCACGCTTCAAATTCCTCGAATCAGGGGACTTTACAAGTCAGACCGACTTGTAAAGTCTCATTCCGTTCGTTGCAATCTTGCGCGGATCGTTGGAAATTGTTTTGCCGAATTTTGCTTCATTTTTTAGATTTTATTTCACGAGGTTCTAATTCACAATTTCATTATTTTTGTTACTGGACGAATCGTAGGTCCATATGGAAGAATTTTATAAAAGGTTCTATGTGTGTGATTAATATTTAGCGTATAATGAAAAATATTAATATGTACATAATCAAATAATCAAACATATTTCATATTTTGTTGTGGTATAAATATTAATCAGAGAAATTCTAATAAAATTCTTCCAATACCATATTATATCACGATCCCATGATTTTCAGAGTAAATTCTAAGAGAAAATTCTCTTTGTGTATATACTTTAATTATCAGTACGTTAAGACGATAATATCTAACAATAAGATTGATAAAAGTTTTTACACCGCGATATCTTAAAAAGTTTTTCTTTTATTTTACTTCCAGTTCTTCCTACTTAATTAATTTCTATTTTCTACTTATTCTCTGCTCAAGGCTGTCCTCTCTTCATCGTGGATTATATTATCGCATACGTTAAGGAGTGACTATAGAATTAATATTGCGTTTATATATAGCGCTAAAAATTTCTTTTATATTTATTTTAAATATACAATGTATTTATAGTGTAAAATATTTTTTTTATTAATTCCTCTTCTTTTTTTTTTTTTTTACTTTTTTTCCTGCAAAAATTTGTCTTTAGATAAAAAAAAATTTGTTCGTTTTCATTTTTATTCTCCCACTCGTGTCGCTTTCACGTGCATTCTCGTCTCACAGGTTGAAAATAACATAATACGAATGCAATTCCCCTTCATCCTGCGAAACATGCTCGCAAAAGCACGTACACGTTACGCAGAACATCGCGATGCCCTCCCGATATGTCTGCGAAGTGGCTAGTCCCTGTCTGAGTTACGATACAGTAGTCTGAGGCTTCAGTTACTCCACGAAGCAGTTAGAGATTGAAGAGTTTTCCTAGATGCAATAGCTCTGATATATACATATGTTTACATAGAAATATTTTTTAGGCTCTGCACACAATAAAAAAATAGATATTAAATATTAGAAATAGGAATTATTTTAAAATAATAAAATCAATATCGGCTCTTATTATAACCTTTATATCCGAATTTTTATATCAGTCTTTTCAATTTTTGATTTTAAAATAATTCTTATTTCTAAAATATTTAATGTTTATTTCTAATATTTTCTCTATTGTTGCACAGGGCCTTATAATCAAGATTCTATTTCAACTTCTTTTTAAAAAAAAAATCTATTATTTTTCAGTGTTCTTATTTTACAGATTTGTGCGTATTAATTTCTTAACAATCTGTAGTCTTAGAAAGTTGCTCCAAAAAATCGAAAGACATCCATCATATGTTCTACAGGTAAAACTCATCATCCCATTAAAAATGTTGCATCTTCGATAGAATTACTCGAATGCGCGCAAAGCGCAATTTATATATATATTTTTCGCACAAATACATTTCTAAGCAGAAAATTTGGAAGACACACTAGGGCAAACTTATATAAATTTTTTAATTAGTATCGCGTGGTCTGCTTAGAAGTCCGCGTAAAAAAAAAGTTACGACAGCGAAGTTACGAGTGTAAAATTACATGAGGAATTTAATTAATTAAATCTCTAATTAAAGTTTTATTACTCGCTCACGGTGATCCGATCTTCCTCCTCGCTTGTGTGTTTCCCTTCAGTTGCGTCCGCTCGACTCATCGACTGGAAATAACACACGTCGATGATCTCTCACCCTCTCGTACATGCGAGCGACCTCTCGCCCTCCCTTACGCGCGAATGCCTCTCTCGCGAGCGGCCTTTCACGTACGCACGATCTCACGCAGCGACGCGCACGCGCTTTTGTAGTGTCTCCTGTCGCGCTCACATAATGAGTTTTGCATATATGTATAGACCCCGCGTACCGAGATATCGCCGCGTTTACGCTTCGGAAATCAATTTAGGAGCCGTTAATATACCAAGCCGTCAGCCTCTCTAAAGACTATCTTCGTATCACTTTGCGCATATTTGCGTTTACGCGTGTGCGTCGCGCCGGTATACAGAAGAAGAGGAACTTGATAAAAAAATTATTTTACATTATAAATACATGGTATATTTTAAATAAATATAAAAGAAATTTGTAGCGCTATATATAAGCGCAATATTAATTCTATGAGTTACTAGACGAGGTATTGTTGCTCCCTAACGTATGCGATAATGTATAATCCACGACGAAGAGAGGACAGCCTTGAGAGAAATAAATAGATGAAACATTAACGTGGCCATGAAATTATCTCGAATTAGAGTAGCATCATCGTCGTCGCTCGAGCTAGCACGTGTTGCTCCAACGTCGGCGTCGCATGGTCGATCTCGTAACCTCACGTTCGTATATATTCCACCGTTAGTCTTCTCCGCTTGCTTTTTATGCACACAGTATATATATGTATATGTATAATCGTACATACATTCGCAGGTCGATAAATGCGTCAATGGTCAATCTGCCAAGTCGCGATACATATATCATCGCCAACCGTGAGAGATCGTTTATCACTATCGACAGCGATCGATCGCCATGTGATAGCGTAGGGTCAAACGGGATAATTGTCAGAGAGGGATATCGCAATAATCCTTCGAATAAAAGTAATAATAAAATCGTATACGATCATAATTATAATTAAATATATTAAAGCTCATTATAGCACTTGAGGTTTTCCATTTATTTTCTTAAATGAAAAATCTTGAAAATTTTCACACGCAAAGAAGATCATTTTTAAATCTCTCAACTAAAAAAAAAAATACATTCTATATAAAGAGATAAAAATAATAGAAGATGTACGTATATATACAATAATAAAATAATACATATGGAATATATAAAAATGCGTTTCTCGGGAGAAAACATTTTACGATGTACAATAAAGTCTCTGAATAATTACTGTACATCGTTAGAAGCCGTATATATGCATCACTGTTAGATAACAGTTGCATTTAACGCTCGGTTCCTCGAAGAGAGATCGAAGCGAACAAGCGTGACCGGCGGGATGATTTAAATGTCACGAGGAATATCACCGCGCATGAGACGATCGATGAATCAACAACCTGATGCCAGCCGGCTCGCTGGAGGAGAAGAACGGTCACGGTGTATATTCTACGTGACCCGTAGCCCTTTGTCGTGTCTCATCGAGATCGCCGCTCAAGTTTATTATTGCATCATAGTCCGCTTCGGATTCTCGCTCAACTTCGCCTCCCATCCATTCGGATCGGATTCAAGCTGTTGCGAGAAACCCCCATCGTCTTTTCCGGGTATCCTAACTTCAGCATAGCGATAGCAAAAGTGTCAAAATAAATATAGAGCTATAAATAGGATTGATGAGCAACCGATGGCAATGCTGACGATGGGTCGAATGTTCATCTCGCGTTGCACATTC